AAAAAAATCAATTAATCCAATTAAAAAAATGGGCAAAGGAGTTGAATTGACATTTCTCAAAAGAAGACATACAAATGGCCAACAAATATATGAAAATATGCTCAGCATTACTAATCATCAGGGAAATGCAAATCAAAACCACACTGAGATATCATTTCACCCCAATTCCACTGGCTATTATCAAAAAGTCAGAGAATACCAAATGCTGGCAAGGAAGCAGAGGAAGTGGAACCTTTTTACACTGTTGGTGGGACTGTCAATTAGTACAGCCATTATGGAAAACAGTATGGAGGTTCCTCCAACAGGTACAGATAGAAGTGACATATGATCCAGCCATCCCACTACTAGGTATGTACACAAAGGAATGAAATCATCATGTCGAAGGCATGCCTGCACTCCCATGTTCATCGCAGCTCAATTTACAATAGACGAGATATGGAATCAATCTAAATGTCCATCGATGGATGACTAGATAAGGAAAATGTAGTACATACACACGATAAAATACTACTCAGCCATAACAAAGAATGAATTTCTGCCATTCATGGATGCATGGATGAGCTCGGAGAAAGTTATGTTAAGGGAAACAAGCCAGGCACAGAAAGAGAAATACTGCATGTCCTCACTCATAAGTGGGAGAAGAAAAGAGGAAGGAAGGAGGGAAGGAAGGAAGGAAAGAATGACAATAATGTGTGGAACTTTGAGATGGATAGAACACAACCGTTGTCACTAGAGGTGGGAAAGAGGCAGGAGGAGAGGGGTTATCGAGAAATTGGTTAATGGACACAAGGAAACTTTACGTTTCGTAATGATAAACATGAAAATTATCCTCGTTTGATCATTACGCATTGTACACCGTTATTGCTATTCAACTGTGACCCCCAGAAATATGTTTAATCAATTATTTTTCAATGTAATAATAAACAAATATTAGTGGCTATGCAAAAACGAATAAAAGTAAACTAAAAACCAAGCCAAGAAATGTAGCTTCCTAGGAGACAAGGAAAAGAGAGAAAGTAGGGGAGTAACTCAGATCTCTTGCTCTCTGAAGGATCAGAACCATCTGGGTACAAAAGTTTTCTACTCTCTCAAGGCATCAGGAGGTGGAAAAGAGGAATTGTGGGTCTTCTATGCCCCATCGCCGTCTTGCCCCTTCCTGCCCCCAAACATCATCCTGTACCACCTCGTGTATACATACACACACTCCGATGAGGAAGGTGAAATCCTTTAGGATTGGTGGGTGTCAGGGTGTAGCGATTGCCAGATCCAGAAATGTTTCTGAGCTGGTGATACAGCCATTGAGAAACTGTTCCAGGCCCACATGGCACATCCACAAGCTGCGTCAGATGAGGTTTTCTGCTATGGAATCAGGACCCACACTCTGTATCCTGGGCATCCCCTACAATCAGCCCCTCCAAGGGTGACTTCCTCATACACTAGGCTAAGCAGCAGGTGGCTAGGTGAAGTGGTATAGAAAGGTGACAGGTAGCTGGTCCCACCACAGAGTCTGCATGATGTGACACTCTCACCCAAAGACAATGAGAAAGCCTCCCCACGTGGCTTGTGAGTTATCATTACAATTGCTCTTCAGATACATTTTACCAAAACTATGAAAGCACTGCCA